TAATGTCTCTATTAGCTACATTAAAGGCTGGTTTAAGGTCTATGAAGGCTGTTTGTGTCTTATCTTTTGAGTGTACAAGATATTCTGCAAAGCATGTCTATGTGCTACGCCCGGGCATGAACCCGTTCAGATTAGGGGCGAGTTTGCCTTTGACTTGAAACATGAGACGGTTTAGAACAACTCTTTCAAGGACTTTACACATACAGGATGTGAGTGAAATTGGCCTGAAGTTTGGAGAATTAGCTTTAGGGATTGGTGCTATGTTTCCTTGAGTCCATGTCTTAGGCAGAATACCCTGTGTGAGGCTCATTTGATACAGGTCAAGCAGTGGATGGTTAGGGATCTCATTCAACAATCTCAGGGTGTTATAGGTTATGCCATCCTTACCAGGGGAGGATGACTCACCTTTCATTAGTGCTGTTGTTAGTTCATGGTGCGTTATAGGAAACTGGTCGATAAGGTCTGGTGAGGAACAGACTATTTCAATATTGAAACCCCTATTAATGTGTGTAGTGTTAAGATATTGCTGTATGTCAGGAGGCAGGGAAGTGATTTGTGACACACTAGACCATTGGTCTAATAACATGTCAGCATATTCTGCAGGGCTGTGATGAAGCTGGACTGGGGTGGGTGACTTGGTAATGGCTCTAATTTTGTTCCACACTTCTGCTAGAGTGGTTGTTCTATTGATCCCCTGTAAGAATTGTTCCCAATAGGTGTCTCTCACCTGACCTTTGAGTTCACGAAATTCTCTGTTAGCTTTGAGGAATGCCAAGAGGTTATCACTAGTTTTATTTTGCTTATAAATGTTGGCAAGCTGTTCTACCTTCTCTCCTTCTTTGGTGAGGATGGGGTCATGTGTCCACAGAGGCGGTTTAGTGCTGCCCCCCTTCCTCCTTGACTTAACCCAGGTGGTATAATATGTGGTAATGACATTTACAAGATCACAGCAAAATTCATCCACTGACCCAGATGTATATCCAGCATACCATCTGTGGATGTAGGCCTTGAAGTGCAGTTTAAGATTATCTGGGATGTTAATTCTGAGCTTAGGATGGGGTTCACACTTGACATCAGCAACAGTGTATTCAGTAAGTATTGCATAATGATCACTGACTAGGTGGTCTGAGATGACCTTAGCCTTGACATTACTGTCTACTAGGTTATACCCAAACACATAATCAAGTCTGCCCCCCCTCAGATGTCACTTTGTCTGTGTCGTATACAGTGATATTATGATTATTGATGTAATTCACGAACACCCTCCCATTAGAGTTACACTGGACATCACCGAGGACAGTGTGACGAGAGTTAAAGTCACCCATACACAGCATAGCATTGTTACCTGATGGCTTTGGTAACACGTCGCAGCTCATTACACCGATCATAGATGTTATACAGCGAAAATTGACTGTTTGCTGTCTTTACTGTAAATTGTTGATAGTGAATAATTTCATCATTGTGAGTTTTAATCCATTTACAGACCAGATCATTCTTTACATAAGTGAGCAGGCCACTTCCTGCTCTACTATTATATGCTGTAAACCCAGCTATCCTGGGTGCAACTTTCTTCTGGGTGCTGGACGTGTAAGGTTCTTGAAAACCAATTACATAAATGTTAAAAACTTTCACAAACCATTGTAGGTCATTATTTCTGCGGTTAACACTCCGGATGTTCCACGAAATGAACCTAAGCGTTCGTGTTACTCTTTCCACCTTGAATTTAGCATAGAGTCGCGCACTGGCTTCATAGATCAACCTCTTACAGTATATTTCACTAACATACTTTAGCGTTGCAAAAAATAAATACCGCTCGTGAAATGTGGTACTGTATTAAAAAATAAAGAAATTAACATCGAAATAAATACAGAAACAGTTTGGGATAGACCTGAATGAAGGTATGGGAAATTTAACGTTTGGAGTAATGTACAGTATAGACCAGCAAATCTTGATAGGGTATACAAGGGTAATTTGGTCAGCTTATAGTAGAGGACATAATTCGTTATTATATTTCTAATAATTTCAGGCAAAAACAAGACGATTTTCATCTATGACACTTCTAGCGCATTTTACCCATAACCAAGATAACGGGAGTCGGAAATCAGACAACCTGACCACTCAGGTACCGAGTGACAGCTGGTGGGCCACGCAGGTCAACAGTGACAATAAGATCACGTTACCGATATGCCAGTTATGTGACCGATTCATAGTGCTAGTTATGATACCTCTGCATCGGTCAGAATTTTTTGACCGATGCAAGTGCATCGGTTGCATTGGTTTGGATCCAGCCCTGAATCAACATTGTTTTTTATTACAGGATTTAATTTGATGTGTTATTATGGGAGGCTTAGTTCAGTGATGTATACCTGTTATCTCAATAAGTGACAACAACGGGAACCAGTTTAATAGTGAGGAATGGCAGGTGTATGTAAGGGCATTGTGGAGGGTGGTTTAAGAGGATATTTTGGTGATAAGACTACATAAAACTTAACGTTACCTTAAAGGGCTTAAACAAACAACCTGAACTTAACATAATATTAACCTGAAATAACATTAACCTGACATAATATTAACCTAAGACAATTAACTTAATAAAACATTAACCTAACAACATTAACCTAACAACATTAACCTCATTTACCTGAGGTAACTGACCTATAAGGTGTAAAATAAGAAAAATGGTCACTGCGCACCAAATAGTCATAAATCTGTCTATAAACAAGGTGTTCTTTAAAAAAAAATCTGCTTCATTTCTGCCTTTTCGTGGTTACGTTGATCACTGTCATCGCTTTGTTCAAATGTTCTGCTAAACCACTGTTGCTTACTGCACTTTTTGGGATTGCATACTCGACTTGGTTTCTTTGACAGCCAGTACAATGTGGCTGGTCTTGGGTCAAAATGAGCAAGTGCTGTGATATTTATTTTGATGTACAGGTTACTGGAAATTATGGTGTTCTGTAGTAGAGAGCTACCAGATTTATCATTGCTTTAATAACTACACGTAATCAGCATGATCACTACCCATTTTGGGAACCTTGTACACTGATATTATACCCTGTTGACCTAACCTACCCAGACCTCACATACTAGTACTGCATTTGCTTGTCTGACCTCAGAAAAATTACCATTCAAACACTGCTTTCCTTTGACAGAAGCTTGATCCACGGGGAGGCAACCCCCCCCCCCCCATGGGCAAGAGGACACACACCATACCAAGTTCTCGAGAAACCTGAACCATGTTGTTAATTCCAGTCACCGTATTGGTTTATCAATATAAGCATAATGAATATACAGTAAGTCTTTCTGGTTAATCTGTTTATTGATCATGATATGCAGTATATTTTTTAGTTTCACAGTCAATAATGCACAATACAATTACAAAGTAGCTTCACAATGGCTATAAGTCCTTACAAAGTACAAAAATAAATACAGAACAGTTACAAAACAGTTTACAATGCAGTAGGTGCATGATACTTCCACCTATCTAAATATACTGAACATCATTCAAAATACACAATATTTATTTCGCATAAGATGCATTAAAACATTAATATCACCCACATTATAATAAACATGTTGTACTGTACATACTCATATAAATATATAACAAAATGCCCAGACAGGCCATCTTTGGTACAAGCTCAGCCTAAATGCCTTACCAATAGTCAGAGATTTCAACTTTTTGTAAGTTTTGTTCAGTAGAAGACAGACAGCGAGGAATATGAGACACATTATCGTCTTGGTATTCCCACAAGAGATTAGAAAAAAAAACTGTGTACTGTAGTCGCGCGCCTTGAAAGACAGCAGCTGATTAACACTTATCTTGGCCTCTCTATTCCATTCATAGGTGAGAAAAGTAACGTCTAAATGTAGGTAACAAATACTACTACAGCACAATGCCCTGGTACAACAGCGTTTTCAACGAGATATACCGTGTCTGGAAATTGAGGCTGAAAGCAGGAACCTATCCAAACTGTTTCCTTGTCTGAAAAGCTTGATTGTTGAATCGAAGTATACTGCTTTAAACAGTCAGTGACATTAATATGTACATATATAGAAATAATCGTGCAGTAATCTGAGATGAATATACTATATAATAAATAGAGTAAGTCCTTAGCAAATAGTAATGATCTGTTAGGCGTAAGCAAGCCACTCCTCGATATATTTTACACAAGTCACTTTTTTAGTATAATACCTACCAGATAATATGTGTAGTGCTATCACACATTGATATCAGAAAAGTTCATACGAAAATGGGTGAGCCCCCTAGTGCAAGTAGTAGCGGGACACAGGGAGAAGTGAGGGTACGTAAGGTTGTTTGATTTAGTGGTAAGGGTGTGTCAGAGAGGCCCTTACTGCCCCTCACATTCACCACTCCGTTTACTTGCCAATGTCATCCATCGCTCATGGAGTTCATCGAACTACATGTAATTTCTGTATTATTAGAATAATATACTCCAGTGTATGACTAACTTATCACAGCTAATTTCTCATTCTTGTTCAAAATGTGGTAGATAATTATCACAGCAGCGTGAAAGATTTCTCTGCCTCGTCTTTGTGTTTCCTGTGTTACACAAGAACTTACAACTTGTTAAGCAACAACACACGACGATACTAATCAACCACCGTTGTTATGACTGGTCTCTTACAGAAAATTTTGAAGTCGCAGGTACGAGTAGATGAAGAATATGAAATAAGGTTATATCCATGCCACCTGGCCCAAGCTGGCGAGGTCCAGCTGATGCGGAATTAGTCGATGGAATCATAAATACATAAGGATATAAGAATGGAGGAAACTGCAGTGGGCCTATTGGTTCATACTGGGCAGTCCCATTTACACCCAACCCCTATTGCTCATATATCTATCCAACCTATGTTTGAAGCTATCCAGCGTATTCGAGTTAATGATATATGATAACTTGTTCCACTCGTCCACTATACTCTATTTTCAAACCAATGTTCATCTATCTCGCGTCTAAATTTAAATTTGTCTAATTTAAAACCATTGTTACGATTTCGCTCCTGGTTGGATAGTTTGAGTACATTTGTAATGTTCCCTTTGTTTAGCCCTGACTTCCATTTATACACTTTTATCATATCGCCCCTCACTCTACGTTGAGTTCGTTGACTGTGTCTTGTGTGGGCAGCTGGCATGTGGAGGATTCCCTAGAGCACACTAGGCCTGGCCGACATGGACACATCAACAGGTATCCACCCTTCACGTTGATCTGTCAACAATAACATTGTTATTAACTCCCAGTCACCATCCTCAGTAATAAACTAGAAATTGTATTCTGGATGTACTTTGAGTACAAGATAATTTCTGAAACGAGTTTATTAAATTTCTCGGTTCATTCGAGCAGTATTTTTGTAACAGTTTAAATTCATTCAAATTTATTTCAAGGATGAGACAACATCTTTATATTCACAAGCAAATAAATCAAAGGTAAACAGGCATTGCAGCTTGATACTTTACTTTATGGTGACAGCACTTTGTGGGAATAATTGCACTTGATCTAAGTTTATTTTAATGTATGCAGCCTAAGAGGAGAAAGGTGAAGTAATGAGGAGGATGGAATGGAGAATGATGAGAATGGGAGAATGAATGGAATGAGAGGGAGATAAGGGAGTGGAGGTATGAGGAGTGAAGAGAATGAAGATAAAAAGGTAAAGGGAACAGAAAAACGGAGGGAGAGATGGGAAAGATGAGAGTCAAGAGGGATGAAAGAGACATGAAAGAGAAAGGAAGACTAGAGTAAGAATTGAGAAGGAATAAAACAGAAGAGTAAGAGAAGGGAGAGAAGAGTCTCACATTCTGATTGTTGGGGTAGTGAAGGCTCAAGTCCACCGGCTCGGCATTGATGCGGCACCAAGACCCCAGGTCGCCCAGGGGTACACACTGAGGAATGCTGTACCTCATCATCCCTGAAACAGAACACGACATGAACTAACGATACCAAGCATGACCACCTAGTACTGAAGAAAGAACTTAGTGCAATAGGTAATAAAAATAGGAATAGGAATTCTGTGTTTTTGAAAGGTAAAAAATAAAGCTGACAATAGTAGTTTTTTTTCAGATTGCTATGTGATATAATTTCTATTTATCAAGTTACAGAATATGTGGGATAAGATGAACAATTCTGGTAACTCGTATAGAAGGTTTGAATCCCCATCACAATCAGATTTACTATCAAAATTTTGCATAAATATCAGTATGGGTCTTATAAGTGTACTTTGTTTGTGTTCACTGGCTGTTGCGCCATAAAATATGATTTGTGGAATACTGTAAAGTTTGTTGAGTTAAACTTCAAAACTGTGTAAGTGTATGACGTACCTACATTGCAGCATTCTAATGAACCACAGTCGGTGGATGAGGAGCACCGACCAAGGGCGAGGCCAGCCACGGACAACAGTACCCACACACCTACACACACACCACGACCACCTGCCATCCTGGTGAAGAGGAGTTATGATTATTAAATAATTTTAACAAACCAGAAACAATAGAAAAAATTAAGGTTTTGATACAAATATTCGTAAATTTCAAAATCAGAACAATTCACAAATACTTCTACTCAGGATCAATGAGCATCATTATGTCACATCGTTATGTACATGAAGGAAATAAATGCATATATAGCCTACATATCCCATTACCATCAGTTACTTAAGGGAAGGATACACTGGCATTTGGGTAAATGTTAAGACTGGTCATACACCGTCATCCTAACACTACACCCTCCATGTTTTCCGCGGGCGCTCAAGGGCTTGCACACAAACCTTAACCATCCACAAGACCCCTAGGCCGCCCACACACCTACTATACACATACCAGGCCACCCACATTCTCCCCAGGCCACTCAGCTCTCCAACACAAAGACGCCACGGTTTATCCCATAGTCTCCAAGGAGCGACAAACAGCACTCAAGAGCAACTTCCCTGACAGCTTTACAGTGAAATTTTATCTATGTGTTAAGGTCGATTCTTGAAGACCACATACATCAAATGTGAACCACTAGTTCGTGTTACGTAGCGCCACCCTTAACGAACGCGTGCAAGTGTGAATGAAGTGAGCAGGAGGAAGGTGTGATCCTAATTCTTTATATCCGGTTTTGTTCTCTTAATTCTTTTTCTACCAATAATTTGTTTATTATATTCAGCATCATTTCATCATCATTATTTATCTTTTATATAAATCACAATTTTCTTAATAGAGACCAGAGTAGGTATGGGAGGAAACGACAACCCCAAAAATAGCGATGAGTTGAGTGGTGGAGGTACAATACACCAATAGTTATCTCCGACATCCATCCACTGTTAGTTCGGCTTCAGTCTGGTGACTCTCCACTGTGTTCTCTTTGTACGGTGCGTGGTAATAACCTCCTGGTGTCTGTCACACCTCCGCCTTGTTTCTGCTTGGTATGTTCCCGATATGAATACGGCATCTTTTCGACATCTGACTGATTTGTACCGGAACAACGCCGGTCAGCATCCCAGTACCACCCAAGAGTGAAGGGTTCTCACTTGCTCCATTTTATGTTGGTGTTGATAATGGCATGGAGCTCAACACATGCACCTCAAAACACCAGTCTTTTCCCTTCCTACACCCACATGCACGCGAGTGCACCAACAAGCAGGGTGGATAGGGAGGGGAACTGGTGTGGGTGGCTGTCGAGGGGTGACTAAAGGGAAGGGAGGGGCAGTAACCACCCAGTGATGAAGGACACCCCACTGTGGTGTGGCTCCTCATTGAGGGATGGGGCGAAGGTATGGTGCTGGGGTGTTACATATCTACACCATGTAAACGGTATAGCTGAAGCAGCTAATAAGGTAAACACGCTTGGTAGACAACATTGGCCGTAATAACATGACTAAGGTTTATTATATATTTTGTTCTTTCATGAAGCACAAAGCAAGATAAACTCATACTTCCTAGTCTAATTATCAACATGTGTATGTGATGACTAAGAATATAGCTGCTTAATGACAGCGTAAATAATTGATACATTTAATGTGGTCGACGAGGCTGATAATGAGGGTAACGTGAGGCAGCGGCGCCTCACACACATACACCTGGCAGGACATGGTAGAGGTTGGAGCGAGGGATAATTCATAACCACTCTCACAACCCTGAACTGCCCCTCGCTGTCTCCTGTTCTGGAAGTTGTTCCTTCTAGGGTTCCTCCACTATGAAATCAGTTAAAGAAAGACTGGAGTACCAAGTCACACAGGGATGCGACGAAGCGAGAATGATTATCTTCATTTAAGTATGTGTTTCACTTCTTTTGATGATGTAGTGTACATAATAGGATCGACTGTATCATTTCATCATTACGTATTTGTGGTGGTGGTGGTGTGTTTAGGATGACCTTGTGCCATGCTTCACATTGACACACCTCACCTCCCTCACTGCTCCAACACGCACCGACAGTTTCAGTAAGTAATTGTTGGATCATTAAATATTTTACTATAATATTCAACCACCATCGATGAGAAACATTCATAATGACAAGGAAACTTTTGTATAAAAGAAGATCCTAGTGTTTTCATTAAGACATTAACCATATTCAGTACTGGTGATAGTGCAAGACTTATAAAGAATAGAAGAAAAAAGTGTCCCTTTCGTCTGGAACTTTAGATACATGCTGGGTTAGTTAAATGTCAGCATCCTGACATTTGTGTGCACCAGAAGCACCCGAAAATGGTCACCCACTGAGCCCTCCATCCTCTCTAAGCCACCAGCCCCTGGCCCCGAGGTGAGCCAGTGAGCACGGGAAGCAGACAGGATTTGTGAAGAGAGTGTTAGGTTGTGGAGGAGGCATAGTCAACAATGCTAGACACCACGCTGCCCTGGAGGGTCAGTCATGACTCAGGAAACAATGCTTGCTGTAAATGTCTATTTTTGAAGATATGTGACAAAAATTACGCCCGGTGATCATTTGTGTGGGGCATCAAAGATATTTAAGAAATAACAAGAATTAATTCCTGTAATACACACACCGGACATGCTCTTGAACTAGACTTTTAATAAAGGAGTTATCCAGATATTTTTGTGTCTGGATTGATCCAGTAAACCTGCTGTCGAAAACCGTCAGCAATGTCTTACTCATCCAGGTCCTTGACGAGGTGAGAGATAAACAAAACAAAAAACCCACAAATGATGTTAAACCACTTGTCTGCCACACCAAGTAATGTATTGCCGGGCGTTTGTGAATCTGTCAGGAGGCAGTTGTGTGAGGCAGTATATCAGCTGAGTCATGTAAATACACTCCTCTGTACTTGCATGTTCTTTCTGGCCTGGTGTTTCCTTCGTGTTCTAGCGCTTACCTTCATGTAGCTGTGACGATGGTTGAATATTTGTCTTCTACATCGGATACTAAATGGATACAGTAACATCAAACCCAGTCTATATTATCAAGGCGTAAAAGACACCCACCAAAATTATCAGTTAAATCACAACTCATGGGACAAAAAAGTGTGGCAAGAAGAAATATAATAACCTGCTACGAGAAAGTCCACACGCGGGCATGCGTGAATCTATTGAAGCCCTGTGGCAGCAGAAGGTGGGTGACAGGCAGCAGAAAGTGAGTGACAGGTAGCAGGATGGTTGACAGGCAGCAGAATGTGGGTGACAGGGAGTAGGTGGGTGACAGGCAGTAGAAGGTGGGTGACAGGCAGCAGAAGGTGGGTGACAGGCAGCAGAAGGTGAGTGACAGGTAGCAGGATGGTTGACAGGCAGCAGAATGTGGGTGACAGGGAGTAGAAGGTGGGTGACAGACAGCAGAAGGTGGGTGACAGGCAGCAGAAGATGGGTGACAGGCAGCAGAAGGTGGGTGACAGACAGCAGAAGGTGGGTGACAGGCAGCAGAAGGTGGGTGACAGGCAGCCGGTGTTGGCTGGTGAGCAGACACTTCCCCTGAACACCGCTCAACCATTTCATTATATTCTCAATGCACTTCAGTTTTTCTTCTCCTCCCTGTGTTTATGTTGGTTGCCCAATTGTATATTCGTAATCGTATATTCTCCAGATTTGTCAATTTACGCTTCAGAAACGTAAATCAGCTGTCATGTAGTTAGCAAATACTTTGATACTCTAAATTGTGTAGATGATGTGTTGTTAATGTTTCAGTTATCGTTACACACACACACACGGACAATGAATTCTACCAGCAATGTTATTTGTTAAATAAATCAACCTCTTACACACTCAGGTTGAGCCGAGAGACAGGCAGTATATTAGTCTTGAGTGGCCTTTAACTTGACGCTACTCACTCGTGATTCCTTAAATCTGTAGCAACATTCAAGGCTCACATTATTACATACCTGTGGCAACATTCAAGTGAGTGAGAGAGAGAGAGAGAGAGGTCGATGTCAAGGGGTCATGTGTACCGCTAGGTCCGCTATATATATATATACAGTACATACATATATATTTCAATAAAGAGCTTACTACCGTACCAATAATCGTATATAAATGATCACTTATATATGTACTCAGGCCATAAACATATAAGCCTACACCCGCTTAAAAATAAAAAAAAAATACGCATCGACACTTGCGCCAAGGCCCTGATCTACATAATTGGCCTCTGGGTAAGCAATAGACAGTGTTCATGTATGTAGTTAGTACTACCTCCATAAATACAGACAAACATCATTTAGTCTTTCATAAATCCACAGATACAGTATATTCAGAAAACACACAAACGTACTCACACTGATTGACAATAACACGGGGCCTCACCAGTCTACCGTGTCGTTCAAAAAATAAAACGACCAATAATAAAAGACTTCGTTAACTGTATTGACATTTCTAACACAGCTAGACATCAATCTGACATGTGAGTACAATAACTAATCACAATAAACAGTCTCAGGTGAGATTGAAAGTGACAATCTAATTAAAATTTAATAATGCTGCTTACCTGAATATGTGGTTCGAAGAGTTAAATAATCTGCAATTGCGGGACAGTGTCCAGGATAGGGGCAGACTCTAGTAGACTAAAAGCAAAGCACACGATCACTCAAACGTCCACCACACAACTGACCTACGCCGAGCTCCGCGATCCTTTTATATACCATCCAACAGGTGAAGATCCACATGACCGGTAGCAAGATGTTACATTTGCGCTGGATATTTTGCACTCCATCTGTTTTCTAATGCTTCATACATTCTGGAGATGCAATATAATAAGTAACAATAAATAGAATAGTACATTAAATGGTCATATCATCCCGTAAAATGTATCGTGTGAAGGGACACTATGGCATAAAATCGCCAGGGCGGCAGTGAGTGGCAGTGGGCGGGCTTCCCCAAAACGTCCCACCGAGAGAATGCGGACGTGATTCACTTGACGCCCATTAGGAGGGAGGTACGGGAAGGTACTTAACTCTGTAGTGATATTTATGGTGATGTTATCTTGGTCACGATCATAGTACTGTATAATTATAGGTGAATATGAATGAAATAAAATGTGAATATATTTAATAAAGTAGGAAGATATGTTGGAGGTAGAGATACAGATGTGTCAAGGTTAAGAATATAAGTTAAAGTTAGAAAAATTAAATGTTAGAGAAGTATATCAAAGTTAGAAATATGATTAACTAAAAAAAATGACAGTAAAATTTTGGTCAATATTAGCGAGATGTTTCATAATTAAGATGTGTCAAATCTTGGGATATGTGACTTAACTGGCTCATCACCCAGGTGTGTGGAAATATATCATCTACGGGTAAGGAGGTCTATGGCCCTGCTACCGGAACCTTGTCCACTTTTACTTTCAGGAGGCATCCCTTCTGTTGTGGATCCATCGGGCTACTCCCTTTGGGCGGCTCCCTCTACTATGTCGTCAAATGGCTCTCCTCCGGCACTTGTTTCGGCTCTCCTAATAGTCGGGTATAAAAAAGCATCTATATAATGTGATGAAAAAAAATATTAAAAGGCCATACGCGAGAGGCACCCCACAAAAACCAGACCACTCTATCGGAACACCAGAATATCAACACCAAAACACTTAGTACAACACACAGCCTCCATAACTAACTCTTCCTTGTATTCAAATGGATATCATAAATCAAGGGTTTAGTTTACTGTGTGTGTGTGTGTGTGTGTGTGTGTGTGTGTGTGTGTGTGTGATTCTTATGCATTTCCACAGATGTGAAGACAGTGAGCTTCAATTTGGTAGGGAGGTGCGGGTGATGGTCGTGTCCCTCCACGAAAGGCAAAGCCGGGTACAGAACTCACGAAGAACTTTTTTTTCTCCTAATAAGCGAAGACAGATTTTTTATTCGTTTTTCATTAAGTAAGTACTGGTATTCAAATCAGCTTCTTCATAAGGGATAATCGAGACAAACGAATGAAGGAATTGCACCATGGAAATAATGTTTAGCTAATTGTAAATAATGTAGATGAAATTCAACAAACTCGGGCTTAGGTTCCTACTGAGTCAAACCCCCCGACAAGATCTTCAAGTCAAATGAAGATCATAAATATCCAGGAAATGTAGATACAGAAAGTGTTTATTTAGCTTTAGGGTGTGTGTGTGTGTGTGTGTGTGTGTGTGTGTGTGCGTGTGTGTGTGTGTGTGTGTGCGGGAGCGAGTTGTGGGGGTTAGCTTTCCAGTTAATTTTGAGGTTCAGGTTTTGCTTATTGGTTTATATGGTATACAGGATTTAGCTTTGAGACCTATGAAGCACTGGAGTTAGCTTTGGTGTGTATATAGTTTTTTACGTTTGAGTATAGTTAATTAGAGTAAACGCGCACACACACACACACACACACACTATAGTAACCCAACTGTGCTTCTACTGAACTTAAACCTAAAGAGAACATGTGGCTTGACACGTTTACAACCCGACTTTCTACTATCTCAGAGACGACAGAGTAACTGAGGTGTTGGCAACCCTGCGTCCGGGAGTCCAGCGTGTGACATAGCATATTCAAACAAGCGTTGGTAACCCTGCGTCCGGTAGTTTGAGCTGTAGTGCCTCGGAGTTTTGTTTTGTTGCCTCTCGTTATCATGTGTGTGTGTGTGTCTCTGTGAGGTAACCTTCACCTACTTAAAGAAACATCGGGAGTTCCCACCCCTCCCTCCTTCTCTCTCTCCCTCTCTCCCTCTCTCCCTCTCTCTCTCCTGTTTGTGATTCAGGTGGTTTGTTATGTCTGGCCTCATACATTACACGGCCACACTTGCTGTTGTATTTAAGGTTAATTTGAGGAGATGATGCCTAAATGGAACCTTTAATTCTGAAGGCAAAAAGGATACACAAACAAACACATGCACACAAAAAGTGTATGTTGCTCTTGTTCTTGTTTATCCAGTATTCAGAAATGGTGAATATTTTTTACATATGGATAATTAAACGTTGATTAACAAAAGGTGATATATTTCTCATATTCTGTATGTAGTAAAATGTTGTCAGATATTACAGTATATTTGTGATGTAATTGCCATCTATAATTTTGTGTAATGTGTGTCAAAGTTCCAGTTTATGACAGAGACCTTGATGTGTGTTTACAAAATGTTATAAAGTGTTGTTGAAGGTCGACCTGGTGGCGGAATCCTAAATGAATTGTCGACTCAGGTTTAAAAATTAGGACAGACACCCATAGCTGACTCAGTTATTCAGTGTTTTTATCTTGCTACAGAGATTGACGTGTACCATGTTTTTTCAGGTCAAGTTGTCGAGAGTTAAGGTCTAACTTTAGGGTTACTTAGTTGGCCAACAAATGTAGTAGGTGTTGAGGCTAATAAGATCTGTTTATCACTCAAGTTGACAGGTTTACTTTTGTAGTTTCATGGTTACAGGTTCACTGGTCCAGGTTCCATGTGTCTATTTCATAGGTTTACAAGTTAAAATTTAGGTTCACAAGTCCAGGTTCACAAAATTACACGTTTCGCTTCACGGGATCATGCATGGGTCCATGTTCACTCACTGGTGTGTTAATGCATCACGTAATAGTTGTGTATTTTGTATACTCGAGATTGAGGACAGGTGGACCAAGATCACTTAGGAGAGCAAATCTCCATTCACAGCTGAGTGAACTGGAGAAAACCAGCAATCCTTAGGACGATGTACCCACTCGGCCACCGCACCCCAACATACAGGCGAATAAAGCATATGATCAGATAAAGAGGTAAAATCCCTTTGTGTATTGTGTTAACAATACCAGAGACTCACAATATGCCCCCTTTGTGCTGGTAGCAGTGTGCCCAACAATTATCTGGATACCATCCCAGTTGGACCCATTTCTCTATTATCTACGCAGCAGAGGACCTTCCTGTAGCAGGTGTGACGCAGTGGTGTTGGTGTACACAAGCTGCCCACTAATTACTGACGCAACAGTACACACACACACACACACACACATATATATATATATATATATATATATATATATATATATATATATATATATATATATATATATATATATATATATATATATATATATATAAAATCACGGGAAAAGGAAACAACGTTGTTCGTATCAAGATCTTATCCACGTTTTCATTGTGGATCTACATGAAATATATATATATATATATATATATATATATATATATATATATATATATATATATATATATATTCTGTGTGTGTGTACAGAGAGGAAGAGAGAGAGCAAAGTAAAAAAACAGACATATAAACACGTATAACTATTTTGCCAGACAAAATGGTAAGCCGAGCGTTAAAACAATAAACAACAGCAGAGAATTCCCCCAAAACACAATTATATTCTTTGGTATATTACTTGTGTGTTATGCAGGTTGCAGGAGAGGGTATGGGGGAGATTGAGGGACTTTCCGCCACAGCTCTTATTACGATATTGTAAAATTTTTGTCTCATCCCGGGACGCCTCGCGAACACCACCTGCTACTTCATAATACTGTCAGTTTGAACTGATTTCTTGAGAGGAAGAGACAACCTTATCTTCATTGTGTAATATGAGAGACGGTGTCCCTCTCCATATCATGGGATATGAAGACTGATGGTCCCTTCCCCCTGCGAGAGACCACCTCCCGGCCCCGCACTATGCTCTCTGAATCATTTTGCTTCATGTAAAAGGAGACTTTATATATATATATATATATATATATATATATATATATATATATATATATATATATATATATATATATATATATATATATATCATGTAGATCCACAATGAAAACGTGGATAAGATAAATATTGATAAAATCACACAGGAAAAAGGGAAACAATGGAGCACCTTAGCTTTCGTCTTTATTCATTTAACACGAGATATGATCATTTTATATAAAAGAAAATCATATACTGTACAGTACACTTGGTTTTCTATCTAAGATAAACATGTTACACTCATATGTAGTGTTAATTAACCCTTTCGCTGCCATTTCCACACTAACCATTTTATTCTGACTACCGCCAAACGATGTTATTCAGATTAGGGTCACCTCCCTCAGCCAAAGGGTTAAAGGAGCTCTGAGGGTGCGGTGGCTGAGTGTATACAGAACTCACGTCGTTGGTTCGCGTTTGGGGCACCTCAAGTGTACATCCAGTTGTCAATGAACACCTGACACAATAGTTGGGGAGGTGAAGGTGGTCAAATACAGTGCCGGCCACACTGTCTCCTTGTGTATTGAACTCATATTATCTTACCAAACATAGAATACAATATGCTGTAATTTACACCAGGTAACTCATCACAGGATCCTCTTGATATATCAAAGATTATTTGATAATTTCCATCTCGTAACAAAGCTGTAGATCTTTCTTCTTGGTGCGATAGATTATAATGTATTATATGTCATTTGATGGACCATCTGCTCGCGGCCGTGAATTCTCTGTGATTTAATCCTCATAACCTTTAAATCACAAAGCCAATCCTGTCTACTGAACTAATGATGATCTTTTTCCTTCTCTTGTAAATGATGTAGCAACGGATTGGTGTGTCACCGTCAACAATTCTGAGTTGCGACATTTGTTCTGATTAGTTTTTTTTTTTTTTAAACGTGGCCTCCAGCCTCCTCCCCCAAAAGCTACACCTTCGCCACCATTTAATTACCTTAATATTAAATATCCTAATAGATAAGAAG